GGGAAAGAAGCGGCGAGGGGAAGAAGGTGAGAAGGAACGACGCCACCGATTACACGAAACTCGAAATTAGAAACGAGCTCACGTTTTTATCTGATTAACGAAATGTATCGGTGAGGCGGAAGAACTTAAAAGACGCACCCTCGAATTTTGTATGCACCGCGATTGTTTCTACAGCAGCTTTTGCAGGAGCGTCGCCGTACAGTATGGGTGGTGCCAGCCAAGGCACCCCGACGCCGATGATGTCGCCGGCGCCACCCGGTGGGCCGCAAGACATGGCCGGATACGGGATGGGCATAAACGGTAGCGACTACGGTTCGCAACCGTACAACGACGGCTCCATGGGCTACGACCCTATGCACCAGGTAACCGTCAGACCTTCTCTTTCTACGTAAATAGATTTTTCCCCCCGTAGTCAGCGATCATTGCCTCGCTTTCCTCGATGCCCTCTTGTATTCTTTGAGCATGTGCTGGATAAATCTTGATAACGCTTAGCCCCGATGTCGAGGGATCTTCTCTCTCTGGCTCGAATGAATGGAAAGAGATGGCAAGACTTTCGTTTCGTTTCATTTCGCTTCCTTTCGTTTAGTTTCGTTCCGTTTCGTCTCGTCTCGTTTCGTTTCGTTTTCGCGTTTAACCGGATAAAACGATATCGCGTTGTGCGTCTGGTCAACGACGTTCTGGAACTCTGCTCTCGATTTCCATCCATTTTCAAGCCATCGCATCGTGTTTCCGTAAAACGCATGTGCATCTCACCGCATATTCACACATATTGCGAGAAAGGAAGTTTCGAATGGGGCAGAGAGCGAGAGAATGAAAGGAAGAGCGAGGAAGTGGAAAGGAAATGCAACGAATGGTAATGGTGGTGGAGTATGCTGGAACAGAATTTGCGCAGGTTCACGGAATGAAAGCGTTTTGAAGAGAATTCCGAGCGTAATTACGAGTCGCTGATTTCCTGTCATCGTCTCGTCGCGATAGGTTCGAGAGGACCGCGAGTTTCGTAGTAGTTGAAGATATACTCTCGCGTGGTTGGAACACATAGGGCTGGGTCGGATACGCTGTTGCTGGCCCATAAAGATGGGCTTAGGGGGAGCCGATAGCGGTGTGGGCAGCAGCGGAAAGTTGGAAGAGGAGAGGAGTGGCACAGGCACACGGAGCAGCAGCCAGTAGCTAGCATAAGGGTTGCTTAGTATGCATTGCAGTTGCTAAGTCACTTTTTAGGTAGGGCTGTGCTCCCTCACATATTAATGGACTCGGTAGGTGCCGCTTCTAACGAGCTGCCTCTATTCGGCCGACGAAACGCAACGGAACTGCATCTTCGGAGATCCAATTTCCGTCTATCCGACAGGGGAACTCGGCTGACACGATTTCCCCGATTCTTCTTTTCTTCCTTCGTCTCTCGTCTCCGACGACGACGACGACGAGCCCTTAAAAGCGCAACCCTCGCGCTGCGGAATAATCGAAACGGCAACCAGGCGTTTGCAGTTTCCACCCTCACGGTTCTCCCGTGTCTCCGGTGTTATTCGAAAAAACAAAGGAGCAAAAGGTATCGCACGGTTTGTCCGGTTCTTCGGATCCAGTAAATCTTTCTGACATGCAATTTCGACGGTGTCACGTGATAAAGAGTGACGTTGAATTAAATTCGCGCACACGTACAAACACGCGAGGCGGTTGCACGGCTAGCCTGGAAATTTCTAGATATTCCCAATTGCTCGATTAAATATCTCCCCTTGTCGATACGTTTGCCCGGTTGTCGATATACCTCGTTACATATGCCCTACCCGCTGCGTCATCGTCCACGCGTAACGCCGTCGAAAGACGCTGAAATACATACGTATCGAATAAAGAATCGGGTATACCTGGTTGCGCGTTAGACTCGACCAGATTACCCGCAATACCTCGTTCGTTTGCGCTCCCATCGAAAGTCATTCTCTCGCGACGACGGTGTCGTCGTCGTCGTCGTCTCGTTCGTTTCGCAGGAAGAATCGAAAGAGAGGGGTCGCGAGGAGGTAAGAGAGGAAGATAGGAATCGTCTTTGGAGGTAATCTGCATGGGGAGCTATCCTGCTCGATCTCGCGCCATTGTATTCCTCTTCGTTCGTATTTTTCTCATTACCGTTGCGTTTCCTGAAATTCGAATCGGCCAGGGAAACCCGTAGGAGTTGGGAAGAAAATTAATTTCGCGGTTCATCCGATTCGGCCACGGTTTCGAGTCCCAGAGGGCGAGAACCTGCTCGAAATGAAGCGACTAAAATGCATGCTCCCACCTAGCTGCCGCGTTTTCGAATCACCTTTGCTTCTCGTTTCGTTTTCCACCTTCGTTTCGTTCCGTTGCACCCGAACTCGTCTATTCTTCGCTTCTTCCTCGTTACCGCCAACGTCCAAACGTATTCTTCCCGATCGAGCACCTCGCGCTTCCTGCTTCTCGCTTCGAATTCGCTCCACCGACGAATTCTAACGAATCTCTCGTTTATTTCCACACATACACACACACACACACACGCACACACACGTAGAGACAGACAGCCCTGATCCAACGTCGATCCGCCGTTCCAACACAGTCTGGGGATGCGAGACGAGCCTGTCTTCGGGCCGTGCTTTTTGATTCGTCGATTCGCGCTGAAAGAAAGTCCTCGTAGCAATGTTAAAAACGGCCTCGCTGCAGCTGGCACTAACGTTTCCATAATCGCATACATAACAAAAATGGCAATCGCTTGCACACAATTATATAAGCACCAAGATCTTTTGTACACGTCGGACTATCTAACATACGCCCGTTTGGTCGACCTGTAATCCGTTTACTACTCTCTTGTCTCTGGTTTCATTTGTTCCTTTTTATAACCTCGTTTCAATCGCTGCTCTGGTTGGTACCCCGAATCTAACAAAGCAAAAGCAAAGAACTGTGTTTGTTGCAACAAGAAATTGGGCTGCGGAGTGTCTAACGTGTGCTCGCACGATTTCCAACCGTGTTTTTATATCCTGGTGGTTCAACGACAAAAAGGGGAACGAGTCCTCGGGCTCGAGGCTCCTCTCTTTTCTTCCATGTCTTTTTTTTTTTTTTCTTTTTTTTTCTTTTTTTTTCTTTTTTTTTCTTTTTTCCTTTTCTTCTTTTGAACCTTTTTGTCCGTCTTTTGTATTTTTCAAGTAATATCGGCTGTCGGATAATCGCACCTGCTTTTCGTATGCTTGCCAGGAAGATATCTACTGATAACGGAGGATTCAACTTCCTAGTAGAGCGAAGATTCGATCGAAAGCGGAACTTATTGAATACCGTTTATGCCGATTGGCCCAAGAGTCGAACGACTCTCTCTTGTTTTTCTTTAAAGAAATCGTTTCAGTAGATACCAACTTACTTCTCTCGATATTCCGACTCGTTCCGCGATTTTCCCTAGTTAGAAAGTAACTTCGGGGGTACGCGAGGCGACTCGCTAATCGGCCGACCCGTGAATCTCTCTGGTTCCCATATTGCATCCGGGTGTATCCGGGACGCGCGCGAGCGAGCGGCACGGCGAGGGGTGAAATCTCGTTGCAGCGCAGCGGAAACGGGGGCGAGTTTGTGTCTCGAGAGAAGGTAAGGCGACCCGGAAAAGAGGATCGATTCGCAAAAACGCACTGACGGCCGCGCGCTTCCGAGCGCATTGTTACAAGCACAGTTCGCACGGTCTGGCACCTGTAATAATACCGTTTACGATTGATCGGTCGTCTGTTCCTTGGTCTCTTCTACTCTCCATCACCTAACGATTTCGCTGATACACGATCTTCGTCGACGAACCGTCCATCTTCGCGCGATGCCGGCCCCGTTGCTTTTTCTTCCGAAATTTTCCTCCAGATATCACCTCCGACGCTTCGTCTCGTCCACGTTTCTCACTCTTTTCGATCTGCACGCGAATCGGCAGCGCGATTCCGTTGCACCGAGCGAGATGTACGGTTCGGCGGGCCGCTAGGAGGGTGGTCGGCTGTTGTTTGCTCTGGATCGCGAGCTGGATCCACGTCGTCCCGTTCAAATTCACCTAGCCATTTTTTCTTTTTTTTTCTCTTGGTGCAGATGAAACGAAATTCATAGAAGGCGACAGAGAGTGAGAGAGACATCGAATCAGACTTGAGGCAAAGAGACGGAATTAGAGAGCGGGAAAAGTAAAGCGAGAGAAAGGAGGAGAGGGAGTAAGTAAGGAAAGAGGAGAGGAAAGGAAAAGAGGATCACGAGACCTGGCTAAATAAGACGAAAGACGAAAGCTCCACACGGCCGGTGCGTGTCCACTGATCTCAGCCTTTTTGTGCTTTCTGTTGTGTTCACAGTGACGCGCCACGCCGACCAAAAGTCCAATCGCAATCGCGTAGATTCGTCTCCGAGCTCGACGCGACCGTGTCAGTCCTCGCGTTTTCCCACTCGCGCCAGAGTGTGGAGGAATGCGCGAAGCGTGGTGTGTTCGTGAGAGATTAGAAATCGACGAGCCGTTCAGGATGTCATCCTTCGTTGCAACAAGCACAGGTCTCTTTGCCTTGATTCCGAGCAAGGAGATTCGCGTCGAATCGAGACATCGACTCGTCGATAGTGCAATAAAGTAAAATAAAATATACTCGTACGTATTATATAGATACATTTTACACGCGTTCTCTTCGGTGATATACGCCTGGCACTTGATTTCCAGCCTTTCTCGCGCATCGTGTCGCTTTTATCGCCAGGCTCGAAGCCGGGACATGTCCCGGTTGGCTGATCGAGAACCGGCTGTAAAATTAGTATTTCTTTCGAATTTTTATCGAACCGTTCGTCGTCCCGTTCTCTGCACCTGGCACCAGCTCGGGATGTTCTCGTCTTCGAGCTCGCCTCTGAAATTAGCCATTGCCGAATGTGCAATAAATCTTCTATCAGCAGGCCTTCCTTGGCCGAGAGAATCGCGGGGTAGCTCGTTTAAAATAGCTAGGTAAGAGAGAATCGGTGGCAGCGAGTAGCGAATTAATCCGACTCGAGGATATCGGTGGAACACGCTCGATCGAGATCTAGCAACGGGAGTGGACATTTTTATTTCATCGACGCGGGTACCGTGTTTAACCGATGCCACTGCGATGCTGGTCGCGAAGGGATTAACGAAGCGGTGCTCGAAACTAGGCAGCTTATGATATCCCAGAGATACGGCAAGCGCACTGCAAACGTATCGCGTAACGCGTATCGTGACGTCGTTTTCCGGAAAATCGCGAGATCGTTCGACTCGATCGTTTCCTCGATCGCTTGACAGTTTTTCGCGCGCTCCACCACACACGCGCCTCTTCGTCGTGCATAACGACACGCGATCAGGCAAACTTACGATCCCTATTCGTGCTACTACGGCTATCTATAGTCTATCTGTGCTATGCGCAAGATACATCCTCGAGGAACGCACCATGCGGTTTTCTTGTCGCTCTCGTATGGCTTTTGATACTTAATCTTGGAGTATTTTCCTACAGAGTTTCGCAGCGCACTGCAACACGTCCATACATACGTATATATACGTACACACACACACACACACACAGGAACACGAACACGTGTACACACGATGCAGAAACTCTCGATGTACAAAGATCAGAGAATTCTCTATGGATAGATATAATTCTTCAAAAGACATTTTCGTCGCATGCATGGCTGCATGTAGAATTTCAATTTATACGTTTATACTGGTCTTACACAGTAGTACGTGTGTGCGTTTATCATTACTTCTACCTTTTTTTTGTTTTTTTTTTTTTCCTTTTTTTTTTTTTTGGTTTTTTATTTCGTTTCTGCGGGTCGATTGGCTGGGGTTTTCTGGGTGAATAGATAAGAGGCGTAAGAAAGAGGGAGAGAGAGAGCGTGAAAGAGAGCGGATGTCAGAGACTTCATATTTAGTTCGTTTGCAGAGTTCTAAATTTTTCGCGTGTAGATTGTAGAATAGGCGCCGGTTTGTTGCATTGGCAAATTAGTATGAAAGGATTTCCTAGTTTTGCTATCTGTTCCTTTGTTCGCAATCATCTCGATCGCTGGAATCTTTCGCGTCACGTAGCAAACGAATCCTTTCGTGCTCGTAACGGGAGTCGAAACTTGACCTTTTCTTTTCTTTTTTTTTTTTTTCTCTTTTTTTTTTCTTTCTCGTATATACGTATATAAAGAGACAAACATTGAGATGTAAAGATACGGAAAATTACGAGTAAAATGAAGCACGCGAAAAGAGAAATCAATATCCTGATACGAGCAGCCAATTCAAATAGCCCGCGCTTTCGTAAAGTCCGATATAACTCATGTGCCGCGGTTATTCGAGAGACGTCTGTCTGTGCTGACAAAAGAATGCGTAAAGTTGCGAAACGAAGGCGAGGCTTAGTGACCAATGACACGCAATTTTGTCGCCACCTGCAGGGGATAAAGACAGAGGGCTAAAAATGAATTGCAAAAAAAAAAAAAAAAAATCGAAAAAATGACGCAGGGCAAGGCATTGGCTGGGGGGCCAGGCGCGGCGGGATGGATGCAACAACGCGAGGCGGTGCCGGAATTTCCGCCACTCCACGATTCAGCGGACTCTGATTCCGACCGGGAAAATGAAAAACGACCGCGCGTCTAAAATTACTTTTGGAATGAGCGAGCTAGAATGGTAACGAAACTAATAAAACAAAATGCACGGAAAAAAGAGAGGCAGCAACAGTGAGAGAGAAAAAGAAAGAAAAGAAAAAACGGAAAAAAGGAAAAGAGGAAAAAGCATAGAGCAGAGTGTATGTCAGAGAAGGAGGGAAAAAAGAGCAGACGTACCGCTACCGGGCAACAGGAACCACGTCGTCGCCCACTACCGACACGCACACGCTCCCGTCGGCACACAGCCACATACACCCACATACGTACACACACATGCGATATACGCGCACCTCCGAGCCACACACAAGGAAATAATGTTCGTTGGTGTTCCTACGATTAATAATAACGTTAGTTTCCGGTTTCGAAACATTTTTCTCTTTTTCCGTTGAGGGAGAGAGAGGGCCTAAGCGCACGAGGGAGGATGCGAGCAGGGGTGTGCCGGAGAGTTTCCCGCGAACAATGGCCGCGAGTATAGCAACGAATTAGCGATCGTCGCGATCGATGGATCACGCGCGAAACCAGTGGAAACTCGGATGCCCGCGATCGCATCTCTCCTTCGCGTCTGTCCTTCGATCTTGATACTTAATCTTGCCTTATCGAGTGACTGTGCGCGAGAAATCCACGTCACCTATTTACAGAGGATTTAAAGAGCGAGAAAAGAGAGGAATTAAAAAAAGGCGGGCAGAAAGAGAGAGAGAGTGAGAGAGTGAAAAGGACGGCGAACGATAAGAATCCGTAGGGCAATGTGCTCCTAAGAACGTAGGTTCGCTTCTCTTAAGACAATACGGCAGCGTACAGGCGCCTAGCTAAGGAGAGAGAGGGAGAGAGCGTATACAATCAACTAATTTTTATCTTTACGTATGCTACATACACGCATACATAGATAGATATAGCTTGTACAGATATTTTTATTCTTATGACCCGTTTCTTACC